CCCCCCCCCCTCATCAACCCTCAACCCTCAGGCCCGCCGCGTGCTACGACTGCCCCGTGTACCGCACCTCGGACCGCCGCGGTGTGCTGGCCACCACCGGCCACTCCACCAACTTCCTCATGACGCTGGCGCTGCCTCTGGGACTGCCCCCCGGGGCCCCCGCGCGGGAGGTGCAGCAGGCCGCGGACCACTGGGTGCTGAGGGGTGTGTGTTTGCTGGCGTCACTTCCCGAGTGAAAAGGGACGGGAAGGGGGGCGGCGGCTGAAGGCACGCAGGGGTAAAGCAGGGGGAAGGGCGTGTGTGAGTGGAGGGCGTGTGTATGTGGATGGCGGGGGGTGGGTGGTGGTGGTGGTGGTGGGATTGAGAGTGTGAGTGTGAGAGGACTATCCGGGGGATCAGGTCTATGTGTGTTTCGGTTGGGTGGCGGCGGGCGGCAATGCGGACAATGGACAGGGGGATGACGTTCCGGTGTGGGTGGAGTGGAGGAGCCGCAGGTAGAGTGGGAGTGCGGGTGAGGGTGAGAGGGGGGGAGGTGTGGAGAGGTCAATTGGGGCGAAACCTTCTTTTATCTTCCCGAAACGGAAGCCATGAAAACGAGCGTGCCTCCTCTGGCAGCAGAAGAGGAGGGGGGAGGGTTCGTAGTGCGGGGGGTTGTCACAGCGGACAACCAGGATGGGTTTTCAGGCCAGTAATGGCCAGCAGTAGCTGCAGCAGTAGCAGCGGTAGCAGCGGCGGTAGCAGCAGTAGTGTTGATGTATGTACCAATAGCCTTACTACGTGCCAGTGTAGCAGTGGTGGTGGTGATGGTGATGATGAGGATAGCATACATGCATATATAGACAATAATAATAATTGCTTCTGCGCATGTGCGCCTTATTCGATGTCTCTAACCATAAAACAATTATAATGATAAGCGATAGAGGAACTATTTCCTTTGTTTGTACAAGCTATGTCGTACCTCGCACATCTGCGGGATTTGCAGGTCATGATGGCGCGGAGGAGTCTGATGACCTTTCGTATGTGTTGTAATCCTCTGTGTGTGTCTGTGTATGTGTGCGCACGTGCTATAAAACCGCGATTTCGTGTTTAGCATGTGCGTTTGTGTCGTTTGTGTCTATATGTATGTATGTTTTGGTAGCCGTGATGATCTGCGGGCAGACCCCCCAGATATCAGGCGCATTCGGTGGTCCATCTTTACGCTATCCATTTTTTCTCATCGCCCTCTCTATGTGCACATCCGATATCCCCTTCCCCCTTCCTACCTCCCCCACTGCTGCCTGCACACGGACTCATCCACGTCCGAGGAAGTGGGAGGGAGAAGGGGATTATCCATCCGACGAATCGCACTTCGAAACTGACTAGGAGCAATTTCGTAGCACTTTTGTGTGTGTGTGTGTGTTACATGGTTGGGGTTGCATGACCCGCATACCTTCGTAGCACTTTTGTATTGCATAATCCTCGCTTTAGTGGTGGGGGACCCGGGCGACACGCGTGTGTGGCGGGGAATTGGGTTTGTACCGGCGGGGAGGCGCGGGGGGCGGCAGAAGCCCGTGAAGGGGCGAACAGGGCTTTGGATTTGGAGGGTTGGGCCGGTCGGTTGACAGCTTGATCGAGGTGGTGTGCGTCTTAGGTGCCAGGTATTTTAATATGTGTTGTTGGAACACATACTTGTAAGGATTGATGTGGTGGTGCGCACATATATGCTTTTGTGCATGTGCGTGTATGGAAGTTCACATGCATCGTGCCGGTGATGCGTGGCAACATAAATACTGTGGTGGACGACGGATTGATGTGGGGTGCTTTCTTCCGCCTGCCTGCCTGGGACCCGAGACCTGAACCCCCAGCTTCTTGAGCTTGTGGGTTTTCATGCGTTCGCTTGTGTGCTGCAGCACACGCAAGTGGATGAGGCAGAATTTGGATGTTTGCGCTCTTGTAAGCCGCTGTCGGACCCAGTGCTGGCGAAGTTTGAGATTTCCTCTAAAACAGTTTTCTTAATAACCAGCCTCTCGCACAAATGTGTCCGGTCGTACTTCGCGAATAAAAGGTCCGTACATCACGCCCCAAAAGCCAGGAGCGAATTTTACCGCGCAGATGCGCGCGTGCGATTCTCAAAATGCGCCTGTACAAGTGTATATAAATTTTCTTGGCGGAAAAGGACCAGGTGCGCCAGCGCGTTGCGCAGGTGGGCATGTTGGCCATAGCCGCACGCGGCATGCAGGCTGGACTATTGCGTGGATGCTTTGCAGTAACTAAAAGCACCGAAAGCCAACATCGTAGCTTGCAACTCTGGGCTCGTGAAACTGCCGCGGAAGATGAAGCGCTGGCGAAGAGGCAGTTGTATGCAGCACCTTGTTCAGAGTAAAGTCAAATTACAAAGTTGCGCAAAGTATAACATACATAAACTTAATTAAACATAAGAACAGATAAGACGTTTAGAGCCTTGTCGGTGACATGGACGCCGCTGTTGGCTTGGAACAGCTATTTGCTGTGAATAGGGACGTGCCCGCGTTAGCCGTGTTGCAACAGTTCAGGATGGATTTCAGCCAGCAACAGCCTCAAGAGCTGCTGCACAACCACCGGGAATGTCTTCAGTTGGGCACGTGTAGTTTTGGTCGGCGGGGTCGAGCAACGTACGCAATGCGCACAGAAACCAAGGTGCAGCGTTCTGTAACATCGCCAACATATCCGGTACACGGTGGCAGGCTTGCCGAGCACGAAATGAAGGGGGGGTCGCATCTCACCATTCAACTAAGCATGCATGTGCTCGGTTGAATGCTCGGTAGCGTGCGAGTTTACCCCTATCAGGATGTTTGTTTGCATATCCCTCCAAGCGAGAGGGCTTGGACCTATGTTGATGTTCGTTCCAAGAAGTGAACTGAGGACTGATGCTACGGTGAAAGATTTGCACGTAAATTCGCCCGTGCAATAAAACGCCCTGTAACTCGCTTACGCTAATCTCACATTCCAATATGCCACTGCACTTTCCTCTCCAGCCTGGCCACATTCTCTTCCTCGCAAACGTACTTGGGCACCTTACAATCCAACACCATACGTGCTTTGGAAACGCGGGCAGCTGCTTCACAAGGACCCCCCTATTTGCAGTCCATGTAACACACACACACACACACACACAGTCCGCCGACCCAGAGCAGCCACTGGGAGACCAGCTGGCATGGACAGGTCGTGCACATGGGAAAGGGGTTGTGGGGTCGACATCACGTACGGCGACCTAATGATGTACCTGATGGCCGCACATGAATGAAAGGTTTAGTCCTCCACGACATCCCATTATGTGCCGGTATGGATACACGCCGCCACAGGTAAACGTGTACCTGGGCTGCAACCATGTGATTGTCTGCCAAAAACAAGCCTCCGTCGGGCCGTGCTACTCCAATACAAGGACAGCAACCCAGCATCGCTTTAAAGTTTATAGGAAAGGGCCTGAGAAATTGTTTTCTCCGGTCAGCAGACTGGCGTTTGACCATGCCATGTCCACGCCGTTAAACAATGAGCCCCCATATAGACATCTACAATCCAATAATTAACCAATGGTGGTGTTGAAAAACACCGAGTTTTAATGCTGAGCACTGCGCGGGCGCCGAGAGAGCCATACAATTTAACCACCGAAGCCATACAGAGTACGACCCTGTCGCTTCAGCGCGTAGACCACGTCCATAGCGGTCACAGTCTTGCGGCGAGCGTGCTCGGTGTAGGTGACCGAGTCACGAATGACGTTCTCCAGGAAATTCTTCAGTACTGTGCGGGTCTCCTCATAGATGAGGCCGCTAATACGCTTGACACCACCACGGCGTGCCAGACGGCGAATAGCGGGCTTGGTGATGCCCTGGATGTTGTCGCGAAGTACCTTCCTGTGGCGCTTGGCACCACCCTTGCCCAAGCCCTTGCCACCTTTGCCACGTCCGGACATCCTTTGGACAGTTACTGAATTGTAAGGAGATAGAGGGAGCGCTGTGAAATTATTATATCTTGTGGAAGTGCATTGGATTTTTATACTCATTCATGGGGTGAGCGGATCCTGAGCGCATCGGGTCGCTGTCGCTATCGGCTCACCGGGGCAACGGTCGCCGTACAACCACCTGCCAGGAAAGGTAATTAATAAAGCCATAGCCATTCTTCGTATCAAACAACTTCAATACGACCTGGACATACCAATCGAAAGTTTAAAAGTTATCTGAGATGGCCCGCACTAAGCAAACTGCCCGCAAGTCTACAGGTGGCAAGGCGCCCCGCAAGCAGCTTGCTACCAAAGCCGCCCGTAAGACCCCGGCCACCGGTGGTGTCAAGAAGCCGCACCGCTACAGGCCCGGAACGGGTGAGATGACCCGGCCACGACTATATTGACCTTCGATGTGCTGGAAATGTTGTTTCCGAGCACCTCCCCAGTAAAGCATAGGGACTGGCTGTCTTGTATGTTACGACTGATAATAGCGCTTGTAATCGCTAAGCATCGGAGTCTTTGCTGTTTACCGTAAATTTCCCCACTGCGATACTGCCATGACAATATACCCCTCTCCCTCCCACAGTTGCTCTTCGCGAGATCCGCAAGTACCAGAAGAGTACCGAGCTGCTGATTCGCAAGCTCCCCTTCCAGCGGCTGGTCCGTGAGATTGCTCAGGACTTCAAGACCGATCTGCGCTTCCAGAGCCAGGCGGTGCTGGCGCTGCAGGAGGCTGCCGAGGCCTACCTGGTGGGCCTGTTCGAGGACACCAACTTGTGCGCCATCCACGCCAAGCGCGTCACCATCATGCCCAAGGACATTCAACTGGCACGCCGCATCCGCGGTGAGCGCGCGTAAGGGCGCGTATGCTATACCCTCAGTTGCTTGAAACTCGGGGAGAATCTCCAAAACTCGGTGTTTTTCAACACCACCAACAATTGAGACACCATTACATATACATGTATATAATGATATACACCATTACATAGAACGTAATACACATCAGCCCCCTAACCCTAAAACCCTAACCCTATCCCGTCGTGCAATACACCAAACAAACACCGATATTCCTGTCAAAAACAGGGATCATTCGCACACTTTAAAAACGTTTCCGCCCATTTCTTCCGTCTTTGGGCCCCGACTCCAGCTCCTCAAACCAGTCCAGCATGTCAGTAGTCGTCTCGGAACACAGCTCGTGACCCGCATACAGCAGGTTGAGCTCCTCAGCTATGGGACTCGCCTGTGGTGAAGGGGAATCCGGTTGGGGGAAAAATACGCAGACAGGCCGATGGTTCAAAGGTGGTACGGGCCAATTTTTGTTGTAAAATACTCCCTCCGCAGAGCGGCCGAGCGGTGCACGATCCGCATTCCACCCTAATGAATGGGCTATGGCTTAAAAATACAGTCCGAATATGAAAACCGCTTTACCCTCCTCTGGGCCCCCGGCTTCCTCGCCTTCACCTCCGACATCGGTTTGCATTGGTAGAGATTCATCCGCTCCTCCGCAACACCGCCCCACCGCCCAGATCCCCCGGCTACCTCCGGTTGCAGCCTCAGCTTCTGCAGCTCCGGCACTCCGGCCGCCTTCAGCACCGCCCTCCACCCGCCCCCCTGCTGAGACCGCGGGTTCAGGCGCAGGTAGCCGCGGGGGTCTAGGAAATCAGCGAACCTGCAGGTTCGCGGAACCCAGTTACATAAGCGGACGTGGTAAGGGGCCAAGGAGAGCCGGGCAAGGGGTAAGCGGGTTGGTTCGAAGTGATTGATGTGGGTGTGGCTGCACGGGGAGTGATATGACGCGACGCAGCTGTGTGTGCGAGCCGATGTCTCAGGAGGGTTAACTCCCCAGAGTTAGGGGAGTCAGAAGGCTGTCAGTCGCGAGCGAGTGGAGGAGCTACAAAGGGTGGAGGGGAGGGAAGCACACAAACCAGGTGGTACCAGACTATTTCCCGTCGCATTCCCGGCACAAACTTCCGGTCTATTACGGCACTTCACATACGGCACTTACTTCAGCGCCTCGTACACCGCCCGGCTGGTCTGCTCGTCCACCTCGGGCGCACAGCGCTGCACCAAGTAGAGCGGCGTCAGCGGCTGCGGTCGTACTTGTATCTCCCGTGTCCGTACACCCTGCAATGAGTACGAGTAAGGAGGGTAGGGAAATGGGGCCCGGGGGGGAATGACGCCCAGCTCTGCCGCTCAACCCGAGCCTGTTCGTTCTCCTATGCCCTTCCCAAGCACAAGCCCTAACAACCCCGCCCTTACCACCGCCCGTACCCCATCCATACCCTCCCCAACTACCCACTTCCCCACTTCCTCACAGCCCCCAATCAGCGGTAAGCCCTAATTACCCTCCAGTGCGCCGCCAGTCATTACTCCCAAACCTCCCCCCTCCTTGCTCCCCACCAGCCCCACTTCCTACCCCCCCACACACACAGCCCCCCTTACCCCCTCCCGCAGCTCCTCTAGGTTTCTAGCAACCAGCTCAGCCAGTGCGGCATCTCGGGGCATGTGTACGAACAAGGTGGGAGGCCAGGCGGCAGACTGGTTGAAGTACCTATGGCGAAGGAGGGGGAGGAGGGGAAGACGAGCCACGTGAACGAGTGGAGCTGATGCCAAGGAGGATATAGACTGATACGCCGGAAGTGAGGAAGCAGTAACTAACCAGTGGCGATTTGCGAAGGACGAGGCTTCGCGATGTGGGGAGTGGGGAAAAACGGGGGGCCTGGGGTTGAAATCTAGGACTGCGGCGACAGACGGCGGAAAGCGGGGTCAAGGGCCCCAGTAGAGCGGATAAATCCCAGGATTTCTGGAGCGGCTGCGGGGTTTCGACGTGAGGGCTGAACTGACACCGTCAAAGTGCATCCACAACGACCCACCGCGGTGCAGCTGTCGGTGATCGTGTGTGTGTGTGTATGGGGGGGGGGAAAGTGTGTTCGTATATCGTGGTGTTGGGGGGAAAGAGAGCGGGGCAACATGACGGGTTGGGTGCAGAAGAGAGCGCCGACACCTACCCTTTCTCCCCCTCCCCCCCACCACCACACACACACACAGACCTGCCCACCATACAGCCTCCCCGCCCATACCATACACATATCCGTCACTCCACCTCCCTGCCCCCCACCTCCCTCTCCCCCCCACGCACACACCGGTACTTCTGCAGCAGCCCTGGAGGGCCCCCCATGATCTGCACCGCCAGGCCTGAGAACCGGCCCGGCATCACCAGCGGCAGCCCCAACACGAAGGCGCCCCCGCTGGAGGCCCCCAGGGCGAGTAGCGGCAGGGACGAGAGACCCTCCCTGGACAGCAACACGTCCAGCACCCGCCTGACCTGGATGGAGGCCGGCGAGGAGGGAGGGAAACAGCCCCGGGGTGGTGGTGGGGAAAGACGAACCACGAGCCCCCGGGGTGGGGGGAAAGACGAACCAGGGGGGGGTGGCAGAGGGGGTTATCAAACTGTGGTTGGTGGCCTTGAAAGTAGACTGTAGGGGAGAGCAGGGTGAGAAGATGGAGGTGGTGGAGTTGGGGAAGGGAGAGGAGAGAATAGAGGACAGGGGAAGGGTGGGATGTTGAGTTTTGCTGGGGAAAGGAGGTCATGCGGATACAGCGGCAAATAGGCTCTCGCCGGGGAGTGAGTGGGAGCGACGGAGGAGGTCGGAACGGAGCAACACCCGAATCCGGATCTCCCTAATTCCAGACCCGAACATGAACAGAGCAGCCCAGCTGGAACCACTTACTTGCCTGCGCGTCTGTGTGTGTATGGGGGCCAGGATAGAGGAAGGGTAGAGGTGGAGGTGACACGCTCTTGCCCTCCCCCTCCCCTCCCCTCAACCAACCCACCCTCATCCAGTCCTCGGGTGACGGTCCCTGGCTGTAGTCCCAGGGGTCACCCCCACCACGTAAGACACTCTGCCAGCATCTGTCCGGAGAGGGGGAGGGGCAGGGGAAGTGGGAAGAAGCGGGAAATGGCTGGCAGCGAAGGTACCACATGGGGTAGCTAGTTAGTGAGGTGCCTCCACTTCTTACCACACAGCGGCAGCAGCCGAGCAAGCAACCGGAACGTGGGGGGGAAGGGGGGGAAGGTGTCTGATGTCAGCGACGAAGGAGATCAGATCCCAAAACGCCGCCAGCAGCCGCCGTGCGGACACGTGCGTGATGATAAACGCGCAAGGTCCCCCAGCCCCCAACACACCTCGCAATGGGGACGTCCCCATGCTCTTGACGACACCGCCACCACCGCATAGCCCGCCACTCGCCCGCCCAGCCCCTGACCCCCTCTGACCCCCACCTGGATCCCCTCCTTGCCGCTGACGACACCGCCACCACCGCATAGCCCCGCACCAGGCAGTGCAGAGTCACGTTCAGCTCCTCAGGAAGACCTGGGCTGGGGGGGGTGGTGTCGGGGGCGGGGGCGGTGGGGAACTGAGGGGGGATCGTGTGTTGGGGGCGGGGGCAGGAGAGAAGGGAGGGAGAGGGGAGGATCATGTCGACAACGGTAAGTCACCAGCCTAGCGGACAGCCGTGCTGGGGACGGTCGTTCACCGACCCACCCCATTCAAATCTGTATATGCATGCGTCCGTATGTGCACCCACCGATGCACTGGGGGCAGGAAGGCGATTGCGGCCACCAGTCTATCGCGCCATGGTTGCAACCATGTGCTATGAACATGACACCGCGGCGGGCGGTCCCGAGAGGGGGGCCCTGCCAGACCGCCTCTATGCCCTCAATCTCCTAAAAGCGAACAAAAGGGAAATGCGTTGAGGAATACAGGGCTGCATGTTGGGGCATGGGAGACGCCGGGGCGGGTGTTCTGGGGGTTTACGGGTTAAGGAATAGGGCAGGGATTGAATTATGGTTGATCAAGACTTGGAATCTGGCAGGAGACTGCGTTGTGAACAGAGGGCAAGGGGTGGAGGGAAAGCGGGATTTGCAGAGGGTGTTTCAAACGCGGACCAGGCCCGAGTGTGAGAAGAGGTTGGAACGTATGCACATCTTGAAGCTTCAAAAAAAGAGATTTCAAAGCTGGCTGTACGGTTGTCAGCACAAGGAAATACCGGCTCCCATCACTTACCTCATACTTGCCGCCAGACAGCAAACTCATTGACTTGGAGAGCAAAGAGTAAGGTGTATTACCCCCAGCGGATTCGCTGTTCGGCGCAGGGCCTCCTCCAAGCAGCTCATCCTCAGCTGTCCCGTCATGGCCGCGCACAGAATTGCGTGGGTTGCGGCCGGCCTTACCGGTACCTAGTTTTCCTACTTTACGTATCGAACCAACTACTGGGCGGAAACACTGTGACCCAAAGTTCAGGGCCAGAACCGACACGAGTACTAGTGCAATGAAGAGCCTTAACTTTGGTACAATCATCTGTTTTAGTAAGAACTTCTTAGGATGGGCGTGCACTCCCACCGTTCCGATGATCGTTTACCCAGCCCCAAAGAGGCATTTCAGTTTCTTGATCAGTTGGTCTCGTCCTTCTTGGGCGTAGGGCCCACGCAGCGGCAACAGGCTTTCACGCAATCCTCTCCAGCATACGTCTATCTCGTCTTTAATTTATGTCAACATAAGTTCTAGAGGTCACGGTTAACCTAATATGTTAAAGTCGTAAAGGCACCATGCATCGGGAAGCTGGCCACGGATTCAGACAGCAGGCAAGGAGGTCACGCCTTATACCCATCTCGAACATCGCCAGTTCTTATTGCACAAATTACGATGGTTTGATTTCCATTGCATACAGAACTGTAAAACACGTTTGCAAAGTAAATTTATCTTTTGTAGCAAATGTTTGACTTTTTACCCGCATATTGCAATCCATGGCCCCTTCCTTTAACAAGCGCAATTGGCCCATAAACGCGATGAGGGTATCATGGCGGGTCCACCAACAAACGCTGCGAGGGTTTCAGGGTTTTAGGGGTTTTTAATCATGTATGAGGCCAAGCGCATTACGGGCCGTTATGACTAACAATTTTTTTCGACTTAACAACGACCCAGCTACCTTAAATTCAAGCTTGCACAGCTTGCGGTCCATAGCAAGCCCCGGCCCTCATTATTGATTACTAATTACTGCTTTTTCAACGTAAACCGTTGCAGGAGGCAAATGTTCCTTAATATTATTCGAAATGTCGAGGAGTTGTTCCCAACAACAACCGGCGACGGCAGGCAGATAGCCGACCCTCGGGGGCAGCAAGCCCTCCCTCGGGGGAGGTGCCGAGGCACACCCACATTGTTGCTCCCCTCCTCATCCTCCCTCACACACACCCCCACGGCCGCGCTGCCCGACTCCGGGAAACCTGTCAAGGCCAGCCTTGCCGACCTCGACCTTGGAACCTCGACAGCAAGCAAACAAGCAAGCAAACAAAACAGCAGGAGGATAGGCGCCAGACACACCATCACGGCCGGGAGGAGTTTGCCCTGGCCCGAGGCAGGCGCACGTACGTACATACGTACCTACAAACAAACAAAAAACATCCAATAAACTCCCAAAACGCGTTTTAAATGCCCTTTGGAATCGGAAGTTTCAACTACGGGAAGGTGGGTTCGCATGCAGGTGGGGGGACACGTTTAGCACATCCATGTTCCAAGTGGGCTTGTACGACATGTCCTGAACGGTGCACTGTCATGTTGCTTACTTGTCCTGGCATACTTGTATGCGCCTCTTAACCACTACTCTACTCTACTCGCTAGGTCTTCATTCCGGCCGGCCGGCGGGCCGTCATGTAATGGTGCTGTTGATGATGACGATGATGCCACACGACGGGCCAAGAGTTGACACGAACCTTCACCAGGTTGAACACACACACACACACACACACACATACATACATACATACATACATACATACATACATACATACATACATACATACATACATACATACATACATACATACATACATACATACATACATACATACATACATACATACATACATACGCTCGTATCTATGAAATACACGTGCGGGCCTCCTCGTGGATATCCCCCCCCCTCATCCCCCCCACACCCTTCTCACGCCGCCATGTAACGGTAACTGTAACAACGATAACTTCCCCAGCAGCCGGACCGCGTGAGGTGGGGTGGGGTGAGGTGGGGAGATTAGCCCATACCGGCAGTAGGGCCCAGCAGGTCCGCGAGCTTGAGATCCTCAGGGGAGGCCTCCGGCTTTGCGGCGGTTCCGGAGCCGGAGCCAGCGGCGGGGGAGGCAGTGATGGGCTTCTTGCTAGGTTGCTTGCCAGGCCGGCCAGCGCTACTGCGACCGCCGCCGCCGCCGCCGCCGCCACTGCTGCTGCCGCCGCCGCCGCCGAGCTCTGTCGGAATGATGATGTCCAACTTGAGATTCGGCGCCGAAACCGCCACATTCACGGTCGACGGCGACCCGGCGCCGCCGCCGCCACCGGCCGCCGTCCTTGTAGGCACTTTACTGGACGGCGTCTGGATCGGCATGGGCAGCGGAAGCGCACCCGACGGCCCGGAAACAATCAACGCAGTCCCGCCGCCGCCACCGCCGCCGCCACCGCCCTTCTGATTTGGTGCTGGCTTCCCGCTGCCTGGCACCTCCCCACCGCCCGGCGGCATCGGCAGCATCGGGATGGGAATAGCACCCAAGGTTCCCAGATCGATCCCGAGCGGCGCCGTGAGATCCGCCAGTGTGATACCAGACGGCGCCAAGGGCTCCTTCGCCGCCCCGCTGGCGTTGTAGACGGTTGGCAGCTTAGGCGGCAATGGCAGGACTGGAGCCGAACGAGCTGGGAGCTGGCTTATCGGCAGCTGCGGCGGTGGCGTCGAGCGCAGCCGCCGCCTCCGCCTCCGCCGCAGGTTCAATCCCGGGGAGCGACCACCGGAGCCGCCGGAAGATACTCCAGAGCGGCGACCGCCGCCGCCACCGCCTCTGTCGCTGCTTCGAGCCGATACGCCGTCGCTTGCGCCGTGACCGGTATCGCGGGCGCTGCGGTCGCAGGTACGAACAGACAACAGCGCCGCCACTGACCGCTTCCTGGAAGCCCCGCCAGCGCCGCCGGCGCCGCCGTCGCCCCCTTCAACGCCGCACAAGATCGTATGGACGAGCACTGTTCTAGCGGGAAGTCGGCCTGTGCGGGGAGCGCTTGTCGCCATGCTCCAAGAGCGGGGGGGCCCGGTGTGTACGGCCGCGCCGCCAGCGACGACAGCGGCGGCGTCACCGCCGCCGTCCCCCGCCACCACCGCCCGCTGCGTCAGTCTACGGCGACCCCCATCCCCTCCAATATCCGACAGTCGCAGTGACGGCGCTCCCGTGGAAGCTGCATACGCCGCCACGGAGCCCCCGGCGGGGCCAGTGCTGAAACCTGACGAAGGGGGAGAAACGGGGGCGGGGGAAAGGCGAACCACGTGAACCAGTGAAGCTGCTGCCAAGGAAAGAGTGTACAAGAAGCAGAACTGACCAGTAGGCGTTCTTGAAGGCGGCGACCTCGGGGGGGGGAAAGGGGGACGGGGGAGGGAGGGGGTTAAGAGATTGCAGCAGATACCAGAGGGGGGGAAGGGGAAAGACGAACCACACGCGATTGAAGCTGCTGCCAGGGCAAGATAGTAGCAAACGTAAAAACTGACCGAAAGGCGTCCGTGGCGACTGTGACGACTGTAACCTAGGGGGGGACATCAAGGAATGAAAGCAGCAGCAACAGCACCACTACTACCACCATCACCATCACCACCACCACCATTACCAGCAGGATTCCGTCAGGGGCGCAGGCGGCACAGGTGTTCGCAGCAGGGGCCACTCATCAAACACTGAGAAAATTACACGACACGGCGGGGGGATTACGGAAATCCCGGATTTAGATCCGCGCCCGGTTCCTAGGGCGGGGTTCCGGAGCCGGATCCTGAACGGCCTGGACGTACGTTCCGGACGCGCCATGGACATGGCATGTGGTGGGAATTTTGAGTGATCGGCTGTTTCACGTTTATGTTCAAGCCTTATTTAATGTCCAAGTCCCGACTGGGTCAGGGGGGGGGGGAGGGAAATAGCAGTGGGTGCCATTTCCCCATCACGGGAGATATGTGGCCACGCTGGCTCCAGTGTCTGAGGTGCAAGAGCGGCCGCAGAGGAGGAATCCGCGCATAAGAGTCATTAAGATCAGCGAGTGACCCACGGGTCACAGGCCTCAGCCCTCGCTCCAGCCCCCTGTAATGGGCCATGTAGTGTCCAGCAGTAACCACCGAAGTCCGCCCGCATAAATAATCACACCGCCAATAATACCCGCACCTTGGTGCAGCTGCTGCCGCCGCCGCCGCTGCCGCCGCCGTTGCTGCTGCTGCTGCTGCTGCTGCTGCAACTCCTTCCAATTGCCGGGGGCTCTTTCTACGGAAGTCGGCGCCGCCGCCGCCGCCGTCACCACCACCAACGACGACGATGCCGATGCCGGCGATGGTAACGCCGGGGCCGCGGAAGTCAGCGGTGCACCGGGCGATGGCGCCGCCCTCGGGCCCGGGGGCACACCACTACCACCACTACCACCACTACCACCACTACCCCGACCGGCGGCGGCGGCGGCGGCGTACGATGCAGCAGCTCTGCCACCAGCCGCTGCACCTGTTGCCGTTGCCGCCGACGACGACGACGGCGGCGGCGCACTCACCAGCGACAGCACTTGACGCGTTTTCCTAGGCGGCTGTACTACGAGGGGCAAGGGGGGCGCCGGGGTGGTTGCTGTTGCGTGTGCTGCCCCGGAGGGCGCGACACGGTGCCTTGGTATGGCGGGCACTGCAGAGGCGGTTGTGGAGTGCTCAGGGAGCTCCCCCCCGGCGGCGGTGGCGGCGGCGGTGGCCATGGGAACTCTGTTGGGACGGACTCCGCTCAAGCGGATTGTTAGGTCGGAATGATCTGCGGGGGATGTGCGCTGCGCGGCCACGCCGCTTGGCGCTGCTGCCACTGTCGCTGCGGGTTCGCGCGGTGGCGATCTGGCGGGTTGTACGGCTTGGAAAAAGATGAGCAGGCTGCCGATGAGGAGGGCCTTCACAGGTCCTGGAATCGCTGCACGGCGGCTCTTCGGACCGCGTCGTAGCAATGCTGATCTGGGTCGCACTTGGTGATTAAGGTTGCTAACTTTTTGTGAATTGAGTCGTCGCGATTTTCGAAAGGCCATCGGGTGCACGGACACCGGAAAAAAAACAAAGGAGAATTCGAGCCGGATCAGGTACAGCGCAACTTGGAAATATGCAGGAATGTGGTATAATTGTCTGGATGGATAAGATTCGGCTGTTCAAACTGAACTGGGCGGAGGAAGAATGTTGCGTGGCGCGTTGAGAGGTCCTTGGGCGGGCTGCGGACCAGTGCTATGGAGTCCAGCGCGTTGCAAATTCAAAACCATCATGGCACACCGTCCCGGAGTTTCGGACGGCCAACAGCTGGTGCTTGCGTGGCGTAATGCTGATCCAGCACAGGCGGGGGACGAGGATAAAATGTCCGAGGAAATCAACAAAACAGCTGGAAAGGGAGCCCTGACCAGCCTATCTGACGGAAAGCGATGCCCTGACGTTTGCGGAAAAGGAACGGTATTCAAACGCGTAGGCAACAGAGATGGAATTACGTGTTTTTTTTGTCTCGCGAACACTGTACAAGGTAAAGCTTGTACCGCGGGGCCTAAGCGGAATCCACACATAAGAAAAAACTCTGCCTTTGCCAAAGATGCCAAGGAAATAGAACTAGCAGCTATCCGCAGGCGACGTTTGGCGGAAAGCGATCCATCAGGCGGGCCTATTGCTGAGGGATTATGTTGGAGAGCTTGCCGTCACAGCAACCCCCTTGAAATCCGCTGACAAAGCCCAAGGGAACTACCCAAGGGTCGATTCCTCATTCCCCGTCCCACTTCGTTGGCTTCGCCCCAATAAAAACTACTACGACCTTAGCCATATAATGTTCTGGACGACCGCTGCCAAGCAGCTGGCTTAGGTGAGACCTCTCACAACTAAAGCCGCACCCATTAAACCTCGCCACGCTTATTTTCTATGCTCGATAAGCTTTGGGCTGTTTGCACACATAATAATATCCACAATTAATGCACCATCCGCAGTCCTGGAAATGGCGCGCGGGTCTTTTAGCACATGCCACTTAATTAATGCGAAGTGACGGTTCTCAACCGGCAGGCGCGGGAGCGACTATTGCCCCGTTGTTTTTGCGGGTACAGCTGGCGACGGAAGCGCAAAAAGGGCCTTGGAGGCAGTGCAAACTGTGGGGACCGCCACCTTAGTGGTCCCGGAGTCGGACGCCCGAAGTCGGACGCGTGTGATGTAGGCGGTCGGAGGTGTCTGACGCTGACGTGGAAGTGGTCCTCATGAATGCTACACCATGCAAAGCACCCGGTCGAAATAGTATTCCTAGAGCTATGGATGCATCCCCGAGGATGGGTGGCCTGAGGATCGATGGGGAGACGGCGTTCGCCTGGTCTCGCCTGTTCGTGGGGAGGTCCAGTTGCTCCCCAATGAAAGGTGCTCCGGGGCCGACCACAAAACCGAGCCAAAGATGTCCCTAAAACGCTGCTTTAAAAAATTTCGACCCTTAAGGACGCTTGCACGCAGGGTTCTTCACCAGGGTACCGGTCGTGCCCGAAACCCTTTGAGCAACCTATCGGGGCCCTCCCCGGAGGTTTCCCTGTCAGCCTGACAGTTTTTCGGGCACTCCGAAACTTTCTGAAGCGGTTTTCGGTGGGTAAAGTTTAGCTGGATTCTATCGTAATATGCTAGGACGTCTGAAGTAACAGGTGTTTGACTTTATCTTGGACATGGCGCCAGCTTTTATCATAAGGGGGTTTGCACTTCATATCCACGGTTGGAGCGAGTAATCCAACACGCATAAGGGAATCAATGGACGGGACAGACAGCCGGTTACGCAGCCTGTTCCGCCTGTCCTTGATGACGCGGTGGACACTAAAGCCACGCTCCACACACATCATCAGCTGACTCGGGCATGCTTAATTATGGATATGCTTAGATGTATGAAAATGTGTGCGATACAGCCGCAATGCACATTCGTACTTGTTGTTTGACTGGTAACCAAGCGGGCCGTATACTGCAAGCCGGGTTTCCAGGTCCCTTCTGCGCCCGAAAACATCCAAATTTACGCTTAAATATCGTTCGGTTTTCTCCGAAAATGCCTTCGGGAGGCTTCGGTGGGGGCCCCGAAGAAATGCTTCGAAAGGCCCAGAATTCCTTCAGGATGTTCCGGGGCGCACTAATTTTTCTTTCGGGCAAAACGGAAAAATCTCCAAAATGTTCGGGCCCGAATTGGGGCGAAGAACCCTGCTTGCACTGTGCGCATCAAGTTCAAGCCGCAATGTTCCCAACTGACATGCCGTACCACAGCCGCTGCACCATTTTCTCCAAAAGGCTTATATTTTTGGAAGGAAACTATTCAACATGTTAGTCGATAGCCCTAGAAATAGGTAATGAGACATCAGCACATCAGTACACAGCTCTGTCAGTGATTTGGACGTTAAAGTGCGACATTCTACCTACTAGAACGACGGGTGTTGCTGAAAAACCCATTTATCATGCAAACAATCTGATCACGATATTGATGAGGAACAGGGGGACGGTGCAGGGGAACAGAGCAGGGGGACCTGGGGGGACGGTGGCCAGGGCACCAAAACATACCGCGG